AACAAAGTCTAGTTTTTCCTGTAAGAGGATACACAGCTGAAGTGTAGGCTGCTGAGCGTATTCTGGACTCCAGTTACCACCCAGTCCCACAGACTATAGTCTCCCTGCTAGTACAAAGATAAATAATGCAGTGGCTCTCAGAAAGCAATGAGGCCTTTTAAATTTAGTACGGGAGCTGTACTGTGACTCATGTTATGTTTATGTACTGTACATTAGCTGAGGGGTAGAGGGGGTTGCTGTGGCAGGACACGTGAAGCACCACGATACAACTTTTGGTGTGAAGGAAAAATTCATATTGGCCTTTGGAAAACTAGAGATCATTTGACCAAAAGATGAATCAGGATTTTGGCTTCTAGCTGTCCAGTATATATTTTGGGGGGTGTCACTGGTACCTGTTCAGCATCACGGTCCCTGCTGTGATTAGGGGAGGCAGGGCAGGAGTCCTGCTCGTCTGATGAAGAGTGAACCTCGTGGTCACTGTCCTCCATTGCAACTGGGGCTACAGTGCACTCTGCAATCTCCAACCAGAAGGACGGCACACACACACACACACACACGGAGAGGTTTTATAAGGGTATAAAAAGAATGGGAGGGGGTCACATGAGGAGAGGAAGGAGCAGGGCCGCAGAGAGTCCGGCATGAGGAAATGAGGTGCATGTGGTCCAAGAGCCGGGAGCGGTACGACAAGCAAGACAGATGAAGACAAAAAAAAAAAAAATCAAATGATTAAATAAAGCCAAAGTAACGACATATGAAACATCATCATGGTACGACTGCAGAGCAGATAAGACGACTGTCTGGTTGAGTAACCAGAGAGATGACTGAGCGATGTATCACGGCGTTTTGAGGGCAGTTGTTTCCAGTCTTCCAATATAATGTTGACCCCAAATGGCCTCCTGACGTTACAGCGCTGCCTCGGGTTATTAGTTTATCTGATATCGCCATATTTAGTGTTTCAGGCGCCACCAAAACTTCACCAGGTCCAGCTGATGTCAGTGCCAGCAGATAAGACGGAGTCGTTAAAAGTAGACACACCTCTGCCCAAACTTTAATTTAAGTCTCGAGCCACTGTGGATTAGTTTTATTCCCTTACATGTTAATATTCTCACTGAAAGTACTTCTAGTCTGGTAGTTCTTCATCGATTGATCCAATAATATGTGTGACATCTCTTCATCACTGTTCAACCAGAGTTAGAAAACCCTGTGTGGTTTATGTCTTCCCTCCGCGGCCTACTGTTTTAATTATGCTGGGATTTAGAGCTTTAGGGCTAAGAGAAATTGATAGTTTCACAGTTTAGGAAATCAGTGACCTGTTTTCCTGTGCAACAACTAAAGCACAGAGATCAATGTCCGACATGGTGGACCCTCTGACCTGAATAGAAGAGATGATCGATTTCAAAGCTTTGACAACGCTGGAATAGAAATTCTAACAACTTTATCGCTCAATTTCGTTCTTTTTTTTTTGCTTGATTTTGGTGTGAAGAAGCTGAGAAAACCCGACTTCAACAAAATCAGACGTAATCTCTTAGAATCACAACTGCAGCACACACATAAACAACAATAAAACACTTTCTTCCTTTTAGAGAAGCGGATCATAAAAGACACTAACCACCCATCCTCCGTCTCACAGTGCCTCACCTGCTCTCTTGCAGTGCCTCACCTGTGGTCCCCTTTATCAGCGCGTAGAGCCTCTTCTTCTTGCCTCTGCGTACACTGCTCTTCATGCCCGCTCTGACAGGCAGCAGGAAGCAGAGGACCAGAGGCTCCAGCATTTATACGCCTCCATCCCAGAGGACACAGCGCCCTTCAGCCCCATCGAGCCACTCGGCGCCCCGGGGGAACTGATCAGCAGCATTGACGAGCCGCACGTCACCGTTCGCAGGCCGCACTTCGTTATCTTAACACTTGACACAACACATGTAGACTATACACACCTATAACTCTCCATCACAAGCCCTGAAGGCAGAGTTATAACAAACCACCCGTACACAGACTCCATCCTGTACATCCACTGTAGAGCCACTTGAGCTGCCTAACGTCCCATTATAATCACAGATATATTAAACATAAGCTGCCATGCTAATGAGTTCACTAATTAAGCTAATAAATGAATTAATTATAAACTATTTATAAGCCTACGTACTTGTCTGCACATACAACATTAAGCATTAAGCAGATTTCCTCATTCTTATGCAAATCTATGCAGGAAGTTGCTCCAAATGTAATCTGATTATTGACTCTGCAGACACTGATGTCTGGGACTAAACTCATAACAACCACTAATAAATGCAGATGTAACATGTGCACATTATAAAGAGTGTGTCTCTTTATTAAGTTTAACCACTTTCCTTCAGTGACATTCCTGAATCCTGACCCTACCTTTAGAGCTTTCTTCTCTAAGCCACAAACACTATCAGGTTACGCTGTCTTTAAGTGTAATCGATGAGGCAGGTAGTACATTCACGTTCCTCTGTGAACTCTGAAGCAGCTTTATAGAGCAAACTGGCAAAGTCAAAACTGGAACACGGTGCAACGTTTTCCTCTCCCACTGAACCATGATATTAAAAAAACACAGTTACAGCTGAAAAGCTTTTAAGAAGGGAAGGAATTTCATTGTAAATGGGATTTTTCTGTTAACGCACGATGCCTCTCTGGGTCAGGTAGCCAAAAACACACTTATTCCTTTCTCTTGAACTCCATATTCGACATTATAACAAGCAGCTGGAAGAAAAAAGAGAAAGACGATGTGAAGGGTCTCACAAGAAATCCGGAGATTAACACAAGAACAAGAACAATGACATTTATCAATGACATCAGGCTTTCCATCAGGACACACCGTCCAATCAGAGCAGCTTCATGAAGAAGGAAAAGCTCGGGGGTTTGACGTTTATATTGCCATTCCCTCCTTCAGGAAAAAGGGATACGGGAGAATTATTACACTCAAGTAATCTTAGAAGTTCAACGGAGAAGAGAGATTTGATCAGATTTTACTGTGTGCACTTTTTCCACTTGCAAACATTTCCACTAACATTATTCAGCCATTTGAGTTTCTCCTGTCACACAGAAGCAGTAGCACTCAATCCTTCGCTTGAATTTAATACCACTGAATCGCTCTGCGTCACTCACTGAACTCTGTTTTCCACAGATCAAGTCGGACTGTGCAGCGTCTTGAGGTATAACTTGTCAACTCTTCCAAACATGACATAATAGTTGAAGGCCCAGCGTGCAGGATTCAGTGGCATCCAGCGGTGCATATCGCAACTCCCTCGCTTCACCCTCCCCTTGCAAGTGCAAAGGAGAAACTACAGTCGCAGCGAAATGCGTGAAAAACGCCAACGCGGCGTCCGTAGATAAAAACAGGTCATTCTAAGGCAACAAAAACACAACAGTTCCTATATTCAGGTGAATATTTACTGAAAACTAAATAGAAACATACAATATTTTATTCCATTTCTGCCAACAGAACCTCCTAAATGTTACACACCGGACCTTTAATGTATAAAGTTCTACTATCATCACAAGTCTAACATGTACTATGTGACAATAACTGTGTGAGAGATCAAAAAGTCTCACAGGAAGGTATTTCCTGTGAGTCGGCCACTTCCAGACCAAAGCCAACAGAAAACCAGTATCAGGCCATCGTGTGTGTGGACCGGATAGATCAATACACTTGTGAAACATATGATTGACTGGAGATACAAACATCAATACAGCTCTTGTGAGCCATACCAACACAGGGATGCTAACAGTAACAAAGCCTAAAGTTTGTCCTTTCAAAATAAGAACAAAAACCTCCAGGTTAGTCAATTAAAAGTCTGTAAAGAACAAAGGATTCAATGTCTGACCTCAAAAAACTATTTAAATGAAAGAGATTTACAGAAATTCCCCTTCATCCTTATTCTATGATATTAACTGCAGGATGTGAAAACAGTCTTCTATAACTAGAATAAAACCTAATGGGCTCTGACATCAATTTCACACATTTCCATTAGCTACCACACAGAGTCTCCCACTGGACCGAGTCACAGCTGAGACCTGAACCAATTACAATTTCCATAACTGGCCGAGCTGACATTTCAGCTCCTCTTGAGGGTTAGCTCTTCGTGACTAATAAGCAACCTTTATCATTAGTGAGACCACGCAGGGTTTGTCAGTGATGGACGCGTCAGACCAGGTGAAACCACAGTGTGGCTGGTTCAGGTCCAAAGTGGCAGAAAATAGCTGAGGCCCTGGAGCGAGACACGTGACTGGAAATGCCTCAGACGAGTTAAAAACACAAAGGCTTCACTCCTACTATGTGACAAATGAGCCTTCATATTCAATACAACAACTCAAGTCTACTTAGCTTTAAAGACTTCCTCACATTACTTAAAAAATGACTCATTCATTCACAAATAAATGAGACAGGAAATTAAACAAAGGTATGCGGACAGGAACATTAATCCTTTTGGTAACGGAAACATATCTTACTTTGTCAGCAGCTGTTTCTTTGGCATTTCCTGCAACGCATGTGTTGATGCCTCAGAACTTACTTCAGCTCACACAATCAAAGATCTCCACTCGAGGAGACGCTGGCCTGGAACGTCCTGTTTGTCACGTGAATGTAGTAAACTGGGGCTAAAGCAACAATCTGACCAGAAGTTTATTGAAAATCCAGTAACACAGCCAGGGATCCAATCACTTTAATGACATTTAATAAGCAGTCTGAGGGGCAAATGGCAGGTTGCTGCACAACTACACAAAACAAATGATAACCCTTCAGGTCAAAGCTTATCAAGGAGACCATTGTAAGAGAAGTAACCTCTTGTGTCAGAGAGACATATTTTATGTTATTACGGGACTGAAACCTTTATGGCTGGCCGATGCAGTCCCTGAGAAACAATTGAAGGACGTGAAACCCAAATTAACGTAAACAAATTCTGTGGTTGACTACGCTGCTTTGTTACTGTTGGATGGTGGTTGTGGGTTTGGCTGCCACAGTGCTGATAGATGATGATTTGTTGCATGAAACACAGCTCTCGGGGGAAAGACCACTTCAAATTCTTCTGTATGACATGGGAAATGCAATCAGAAGCTGCCAGAAGTCATAAAGAAACTATAAAGCACGTTGTTATTGACCTTCCATGATGAAAGCACATATCGGCTCAGGAGGAAACGCTGTCGACAGAGTCGTTTATAATCGAGCTAAAATAATTACTATGCTATTATTCACTGAATGCTAAATCATTTTTACTTGGCAGGCTTCAGACTTCACCCTCACTGTATGACGGTGAAGTGTGGGGAAGTTCAGTTCGGTTGCAGTTACACTGTGATCTTAAGCTCCTCTTGAATGTCAGACTGGAGAATAAAGCATGGATCTAAATGTGGCCATTCAAAGGAAACAACGCTCTGTGTTTATTCCTCTTCAGTGAATGTTGTGGAATGCACAGGCTGAATACCAGCGAGGTTTCCCCTCGTGGAGAGGCAGGTGGTGGAGGGAGCCATGTGTGCTCTGTGTGAATGC